TTTAGGTGATCAAATAAACTGTTAAAGAAGACGACTGCAGTTGAAAATGTCAGTGTTGGTGAAGGAGGTGGTTGAGGTGGCAAATATCACCTACGAAGATTTGCAATGGCATGAAAATTTAGAATGGCTTGCCGTGACCTCATTTAGTGCTAAGAAAGGTGGAGAAGTAAACTTTTTCAAACAAAGTGTAAGTTTCTGAGCTTTCTGAAGTTGGTTAACAGCCTAACGTGTTTTTGACAGTGTAAAGCACAACCACAACTTTTTTCAGTAATTAGTTCAAATTTCAAACTGGAAACTTTTCAGAGGTATTTTGCATTAAGAAACCAATATATCTCGTTGAAACTATTAGTACTATTAGAAAAAAAGATATTAGAAAAATTGTTACTAAAGGAAAGATAGTGGAAATATATTAAGAACACTTTGTAGAGTTAAAGAAATACTAAAAAAAAAAATTTTTTTTTTGCTATTTATGTATAATAATCTTTTTAAATTGTTTTTTACAATTTGCCTATCGATTTTATCAGAAATGATAGATTTGGCTGAATAACTCATTAAAACTTTATTGAGGAATCCTTGGGGAGGCAAATTTCACTTTTTGGCTCTGTAAATCGTTTGAAGAAAAAGTAAAAGAATGAAAAAAGAATGAATTTATTGACAGAGTAGAAAATGTGCCTGTTTACCAATGCAAAATCCGAATGCAAAAGTATCAGCGATAAAGTGGCATCCAAAACGATGCCATATAACTGTTGGTTGGGAAGATGGTACCGTTACACTGAAGGATTTTCAATCTGGAAAAGGTGAACCAAGTTTCTCGCCCATAGTCTATTGATAGTTTACTACAATTGCCACGGTTTTCTAATTTCTTCAAACAAAAAAAAAAAATTTATCTACTTATTTTACAGCTGAGTTTAATGTATAAACACAATGGCGTTTATTTAAAGCCATCAGAAATTATATTCGTGTAAATATTCTGTATCTGTTTGACTGTTCAGTTTTATTTTTTCAGAAATATCAACAAAAGTATCTGAAACTGGTAAAAGTGGTGTAAGATGTATGTGCTGGAACTGTTCCGGTTCTTTACTGCTTCTAATTGATCAGGTATTATTATTAAAAACTTTTAATTTTGCTTTTGTACTTTTTTTTAATATATTTTTTAGAGCAAAAATAATTGTCTTTTTCAGTTGTAATATTTGAAAAATTGAAGAAAGAATTTTTTTTTCAACTTTTATCTGTGCACACCGAAGTAATAGCGACAGCTAAACAGTGGGCACTGTAACCTCTCAGATATGTTATCATTTAACACATCGTTTACAGTGTACAGAAAAAAAGAAAAGAGTTTCGAGAATTTTTCTTGTAATTTTAAACTTTACTCTATCATTGGTTATTGTTTAAAATAGAAAAAATAATGTTTATAACATTTATTTTTTTTTATAAAAAATTTAATGCAAAAAAAAAA